GTGGTAATGTTTAAAAGCGAGTTAATTATGTCATGGGCTTTAATTTCTGCATGTAAAACTGATGCCAGTAGTACGATAAAATGATAGATGAACATAAAGGATGATAAGTTCATTTAGGAGGATCCTCCTACCAAGTCGACAATTTCAGTCTACCAAAATGCACTCATATAAGTCGCCCAAACTTAAGCTTCTATAGTCTTATTAGGACAGAAAACACTTACCTTTATTTGAGCTCTATACATGTTCTCCTCGCCTGACTGCTCCTCTAAGATGTCCCTTTGTTTATCTTACAGGTATCTAAATAACAACTCACTGACTGCAATAAATCGACGCTTATTTGGCCACCTGCGACATTTGGAAGTACTGTAAGTCATTTAAGCCTTGTCCCAGTCTAATCGAGCTAATCCTCTATTTCTCCTTCTAGATCACTCCACGACAATAAGCTCGAATGCCTGGCGGGTGACACCTTTGCTGATCTATTGAACCTGCGAGTACTGTAAGAAAGCCTGTGATTTCCTAACCCGCACCTTTTTAGACTTCTCCATTCGAACAGGTTGCGATGCATCGCCAACGCAACATTTAGCCTGCGAAAATTGGAACATATGTACGACTTTCGTGTTATCCTTTGTTTATATCATATTTTTTTGTTACTTAGCTTAAATATTCCCATGCATTTTCCCTAAGAATCCAGTATTCGGGCTAAAATCAGTTCCTATGACATAGCGTGTTAACTTGGTAGACTGATGCTCTGAAAGTGTATTCATTACAGTGGAGATCGATCTTTCTCAGCAGTACTCTATCAGACAAGGGGTGGGGGAACCCAGCGGCAACATTGCAAATCATTGCTCTGCATAATTTTGTTATTTGGATGAGATCGAATAAAAATTGTTTTGGTGGTGTTTGCTTACTCTACGTCGCATTTTCTTACCCACTGACGCGATTTTCGGGCAGTACATGTAGGTCTTCCTGACCATATCTTGCCCATATAGCGAAAACCTTTTACAATCTTCTTAACATTTGGTCATGCTGCGCTTTCTAATAAAAAGGTTTTTCCAGGACTACACATTAATCTCTAACATTAAGTTTGCAGTGACCTGAGTTTCTCGAACCGCATAACATCTACGTTGAAGCATGTCGCATTAATTTCGCTGTCAAAAGACAAAGGGACTACTATAAAATGTCAAATGAAACCAGTTAGTGGAATTTCGCTTGCTGGCATTTGGCTTTCTATCCTCACAGTT